TCTACGGATTTAGAAATATCAAACAAGTCAAATGCATTAAAATTTGAAGGATCATAATTTGTTTCTACTAAATGATCTGCATTTTGACTATCTTCATATAAAGTTAGTGATTTAATTAAATTTACAACTATCGATAACTTAAACATGCTATTTAAATTTTTTGTTTTTAAATATTCGAAACAAAATAAATTAATTTAAAACCGTTTTTTAAATAAAAATTTACTAACAATTTATTTAGTATTTTTTATTTTTATTATATAATATCTTTTAAATAAAGTATTTATTTATAAAAAACAATTTAATTTTTAATCATTTTAAAATATTCAATCTTTTGTTTGTATAATTAAAAGAAATAATACAGATTTAAAAAGAAACAGAAAATAAAAATTTTATCTTTTTATATTTTAAAATTTTTTTAATTAAATAAAAAACATTAAAAATAAATCATTTTATTTTCTTCTAATTGTGTAAATAAATTAAATCTTTAGTAAAGTTGTATAATTAATTAATATATGTTGACTTTATAACTTGTTTTTTTAATAAAAATTGTTAATTTAAATTTTTTATCAACTTTTAAAAAGAATTTTGAAAAAAAATTAAATAACAATTTTTATTAAAAAACATGTAATTTTTCATCATTTTATTAATTAAAAAGTACTTTTTTTACTTTATCAATTTCTTTTAATGATTTTTTATTCTCAAATAGTTGATTAGTTTGTTCATTGTTCATTTTAATTTCATTATCTGGTTCATCATCATATTCTGATTCATTATCATATTCTGAATAATTTTCATTGTCTGATTCATCATCATATTCTGATATATCATCATATTCTGATTCATCATCATATTCTGATTCATCTTCATTATCTGATGTATTATCCTGTTTATTTGAACAGTTTAAATTTTCTAAAGAATCTTTGTCATGATTATTAGATAATGTAAATTGATTTTCATTATCAGGTTTAAATTTCTTATATCTACAATGAAAACACATATCAGAATTCTCATCACTTGAGGTACTAAATTTTTCATTGCAGTTTAATTCTCTCTTTAATTTTTTATTGAAACATTTATTTCTTTCATTTGATAATTCATCTTGTTCATTTGTATCTTTATACATTTCAAAACGTTTATCTGTAAGTTCTCCATACTTTTGAAGGAAAAAATGAGTTAGACATTCACCGGAAGATGTTGAGTAAAAATCCTTATCTCCACTACAACAACTTTTTTCTTCACCGGTTAAACATTCTTTTGATACTTTATCATCTTCTTTAGGTTCATTATCTTTAACTGTAAAATTACTACACTTTATTAATTTAAAAACTAACATTTTATGGGTTAACATAATTTTTTATTTATATAATTTGATCAAATTTACTTTAAAAATAGTTT